AGGCATGACACATAGAAGACCAGGACTAAAAATTGAGTCGTAAGAATCAGACATGGAAAAGAAATTACAAAATCTCTCACAGAGGGTAGGGACGGATAGGGAGAAGAAAGGACTAAGCATAAACTACGAGAAGACAGAATGCATGGTCATCAGTAAAAGGATGAGCCAGAAATGCGATTTAAAGTTCAGGAACACCAGAATCAAGCAGGCGCGGAAGTTTAAATACCTGGGAAGCGTCTTGACAGAGGACGGTAAGTGCGACACTGATCCATAGACGTATTGGGATGGCCAAGGACACATTCCAAAAGCTGAGCAGAATATGCGAGACAGCAGGATTTCTTTGGTAACAAAGAAAAGAATACTAAGCTGTTACGTGACATCTGTCTTTCTTTACGTCAGCGAATGTTGGATAATTTCCTCAAAGATGAAGTACAGACTCGAGGCGACAGAAATGTAGTTCTTCAGAAAGACGCTAAGGATATCATGGACCGAGCGTGTGAGCAACGGTGAGGTCTTAGAGAGGTTGAAAACAAGGAGGAGGCTTGTACTTAATATCAGGAAGAGGCAGCTGAGATACATAATGAGGAAGGAGGATCTGGAGAATCAGATACTCACGGGTCGAATAGAGGGAAAGAGAGATAAGGGAAAACAACGCGTGACATACCTGGCAGGCTTAAGCAAGTAAATGCCAGAACGTGGTCTGGGGGAGAAAGCAGAGGAAAGGTACTTGTTGAGAGCTGCAAGGGATAGAGGGTGGTCGATAGCTATAGCCGCCTACGTCCTGAAAGGACATGGCACATAAAAAGAAAAAGAAAAATAGGTCAATCAAATCGTCAGATTATAGTAGATAACATTTCGTACACTTAGATTAATTTGAGTCATGGTTTTACGCTATTTTTTAATCATTTCACCCCAACTAAGAGTTCTATTTTGCTTACTTCATTTTGTGACGTACGGTGGCCGTTAATAATCAAGTATAACACATGACTTCAATGTCACGATAAAACAGTATTTAATTACAACAGCAAATAAATACTTAACAAGAAAAAAAGAGTAAAAGTCAACCAAAGATAATTAAACATTTCAGTAAATACCTTGTTAGTAGCGCGGCTCGGCTTAACGTCCGGTAAATCATAAATCAAACCCAAATCATCGACACACAATAATTCACACTAATTCGACTGGATAGTTCCACTCAATAGTCACTCAATAATCACTGCAGTCAGTAGCCTGACAACGTTATTTATACACCTGACGGAAAACGTATATTCATAAGTTCAGAATGTCACGCTCAAACCTCGTTGTCGGTAGTTACTCATTGTCTTCCTATATGACAGTTTATCTATTGGTTTAGTTGATTTGGCGATCAGTCAATTATTGAATAGATAAGGAAATCTAAAATCCCTGAATCAAGAATTTTAATCCATGTTTCATCTGCCAAGCGGTTATAATATTTTTATTTTAAACGCAAAAATCTAATTATATTGATACCAAATCAACACGCACAAAGTTATCGTTTACTAATTTTACTAATTAACTTTTTACTAATTTAACTTGTAGCGGTATTGTTGGTATGTTTGAGTAAATATTTAGTCACCATTATGTTACGGGAATCAACAATTTAAACAGTAAATAATTCCGGGCTCCTGGAAAATTTATCCCACAAACAATATTGGCGGAGTCACTGTGAGTCAAGGTAAAAATGAGTAACAATATAAAACAAACGAGAAGTAATTGCATATATTAACAAAAAGGAATTACAATTAGAAAAAAAGGAGAAAACATTTAAAGACGAGTTTCATAGAAAATATTTAAACTAGAGAATGTGCGCTATTTGTGTGTGAAAGTTGTGTAGGACTAAGTGATAGACACGTGTGTGAAAGAGTTCAAAAGTCAAGAGAGAGAAAGAAAAACGCACGCGAGCCTAGTGGCCACATACCAAAAGTTCGTAGTATACATTTTAATGCCAGAGTTGAAAAACTGTAAAATAGGCAACCGAGATAACGCCTTTATATAAGCTTAAGGAGTGTTCCTTTATATAAATCTAGGAAAATTAGGATTGATTAGGGCGTTTTTTTTTTTTTAATCAAAGTCAAGTGAAATAACCCACAAACTGCTGGAAACGCACGATGAGGTGAGCACGTCAGAGAGAAATCTGCTTTCGCCATCAAAAATTTAAGTTTAGAACAGAGTTCGTCATCGAAAATGTCTCAAGAAAATAAAATGGCTGGAAAAATAAACATTATTTTCTAAGCTTTCTTTTGTAATTATTTAGTATATTACTTATGTCCGTTCCTTAAGAGTCATTGTTAGCTATGTGAAGTTTTATTTATAGATCCTAGAATCATTGAAAAAAAGAATGGAATCAATTATCAAACTTATACTTGAGAAACTTTTGCAATGAATGCCAAAGATTTGTTCTGCAGTAATCAAGGCTAAAGGAGGATATTTTGACGAGAGCTAAATTTAATCATAAAATGCTTTTTTTTTCTTTTTTTCGTAATAAAATTTCTAATAAAAATCATGTCTCACTTTTTAGCCAGGTATAATAATTTTCTCTATTTAAAGTACAAAACAACTACTTTTTGATTCAATTTAAAAAATTACCAGATTCCCTCAAACTTTTGAACTGAAATAGATAGATAGATAGATAGATAGATAGATAGATAGATAGATAGATAGATAGATAGATCGCAAATCGGTAATTGAGTCTTGTTAATTCCGGAGATTTTTGAACGTAAGTAAACCGTGAGGGAAAAGCCAAAATTGTACTCAATAAATGATAAGAGAAAAACTAGTCTGAAGATCAGCGACATTAAAAGTAAATTCCCTGTAAGACCGCAAAGAGCAAAAAATGGAGTTGTTGTTGTTTTATTTATATATACTGGGGTTCACCCAATAGAAGGCTTAAAAGTCATTCGTAGTAGCGGATTACTCAATGAGGTGTGTAGCATGAATGTAAGAAAAGGTAGGGTGCCAGTGAAGATTATGAGGATAGGGATGATAGATAGCAGTTGACCCTTATCTTGACGAGATTCGGAGAGGCATCCGTGCGAAAGTTTATTCCACATAATTGCAGTTTTGGGGAGAAAGTTGTCTGAGTGGATATTTCTCCTTACCAATGAAATACGAAGGAAACGTGGACTATTCGATTCTGTGGACATCGCATAGCGGGTATCAGCTGTAGTTCTTTATTGACTGAGATTAAAAGTTCTGGGAGAATGCAATTTTGAATTTGGCTAAAAGATGGCAGAAGTTAGTGGAACAAAACGGTAAATATATTGTTCCATTTAAAGTTACACGTTAACTGCTAGAGGTCAATTACGAAATCTAACTTCAAACACCAACTTTATAATAGCCAATTTTATAAAAGCCAATTTTATAAAAGCCAATTTTATTATAGCCAACTCAGGTAGTAAAAAATTTATGAGTTGATTTATAGTTTCAACTGAAGTCATAAAAGTGAAACATTCTTCTGTGTCACTTGTAAAAACAAACCACCTGTCTGCGTTGTTGATTCGGGAAGTTTGTTTTGATATTGAACCCCATCAATTTTTCCCATAAAACATTTGTTTTTAACTGCCAGTATGACTTTTCATTCTTGCCTTAAAACGTCATGTACCAGTCATTTGCTTTAAATACCACGAGTCCTGGGTCTGACGATAAACTACATCCAGCAGTAAAACCTCTGATCAGGAGATTCTGAGAAGCGTGGAACCACCTCATAACTGCTGTTGTTCCCAGGTCCACCCTGACTCGGGGTGGTAGCACCTTTTAGGGTACCAGCTATGAGCAAATAGTGTACCCCCAAATAAAAACAAAACACTATGAAAGTATAAAAATACATTTTTATTGTAAAATTACCAGCAATACATTTTGTATGAATAATGCATCAATAATTATTTATAGTAAAATTACCAACAACACAATTTTATAACAAAATTGCCAACAATACATTATATCTGTAGTTCAAGACACACAAATGTGTTCGTAATATATTTAGTTGTAGCCTCAAAATTATGTTCAACTATTTAGGTTTTGGCATTAAATAACCGATAGAGGTTGGCATGTCGCTAAACCAAATCAACCAAACAACCAACATAAAAGGACTTTTTCGTGACATTAATCCATATAATATCCTCCATTTTCTGAAAGATATCAAACTGTATTCTGAAATATAATTTCAACAAAACTACAACATAAAACACACATATCACCGCCTGTAGTAATTATCCCAACCAAACATTTATATGCACAAAAGTTGAGTATCATCTACCATGTATTCACTTGTGAAAGCAGAATAACATATATTTTTATTACTTCAAAGATCCCAAGGAAAATAAAATTTCAGCATTAAGTGAGTTGATATGCCGTTAAACAAACAAATCAAATCACGAGTTATCTCGTGGTTGGCAGTTAATGTGTTAATGTCGAAAATTTAAGAATGAAAATGTTCTTTTATATTTAATTTAATAAATCAAACGAATTTCTTGTGTTACCTATATCTGTGTGGGTGTGATTTAATATACGTGTGATCCATTATGTACATACGTAATAAGTATGATTTTGTATGTTTGTATGACCTACTATATATGTGTGTGTGTTTGTGTGTATAGGTAGGTCCGCGGGAAATAATCAAGTTTCCGTCGCGTGAATGATTGACCAGTTGTAATGTTAGCACTACCTGACTACTGTCACCTCCCTTTCACTGCTTTCAAACAGAGTGCCAGGCAACCGTTGCTAACCGCCATCTTTTCACAAAAACAATACAAGCTATTTTTTTTTTCTTGGTGTGTATGTGGGCCATGGCTGGTTCTCTAGGCGACGTTTTGTTGTTAATAAATAACGTCGTTGCCCGAACTCAACTCTCTGTGTGCTTGAGTGTGAGTGGTACGGATAGGCCAAGTTGACAAATCAGGGAAAAGAAAACAAAAACAGAAATTGTTCTTCAAAATCAAGGCACTTTCTCTTCGAAGTGAAATTCTTTATCCGAATTGATTATGGCGTCTAAATGCATCTGCCAAATATGTACTTGCGGGTGAGTTTCATAGTACTGTTATTTCATTCACGTCTTCATATATCAACCTTTTTATATGCACACTTGTCTTTTAATTTAGTCGCTGCTTTAAAGATGCACTGTTCAATAATAATAATAATTGTGTTAGATTATTTAGGAATTATAAAATTCTCCTAGTTCATTCTACTTTCTTTTTTTTTTTTTTTTTCTTTTTTTTTTAATGTCATTGATTTATTTTATTCGGTTGTTTACATTTCACTTTCTTTTGGTTTTGTCTGTATTCACCGAAAATAATTTTCCATTTCAATCGATTTCTTTTCAGATGAAAAATATTAATTTTCTTTTTCTCATTATTTTTTCCTCCCGCTCTTATTTCTTGACTTTATAAATCATTGACTTCATAAATTGAAAAATAATAATTTTATTTACCGGAAATGAATTTACTTACTTACGTCTATATTCAATCCGATCACAATATAATTATTCGTAGCATTTATCAATTTCAAATCTGACATATCTATTTTAAATCCGATTTTAAAAATGTTTCTCTGGAAAGAGTCTAAAAATTATAATTTTTTTTTTTTTTTAACTTTCAAGTTTTCAATAGACTCGTCTAAATGGGTGTAGCAGATAGATACAAAATTACGGCAAAACATTTTTTATCAAGTTTTCTTCTTAAGTTAGTAACTAGACAACAGGATTGAACCTTTGGTCAGATATCCTTCCGTTGACGGATCACAGAACTGTATGCGAAAACACGATACGAACAAATTTGTATATACGAGTTCACCATACTCGTAACAGATATTTTTTTTACAATTATTGTTAGGTTAATGTAAGAAAATTTTAAATATCTGGGAAGTGTTTTTAACGGAGGATGGAAAATGTCACACAGAAAGCAGAACGCATTTTTTAATATTAACCTCTTAATTTTTTCATCAAAATAAAAACTTTTTATTATTCATCCTATAAAAAACAAGGAAGAACACTCAAGACAAGAAAATCAAGAACGATATGTGTGTGTGTGTGTGCGTGCGTGCGTGCGTGTGTGAGTGTGTGCGCGCAAATTATTTTCAGATAGTTTATCTATAAAATAACAAAATTAATAAAGAGACAAGAAGAAAAACTAGCCGATTGTTAGGCTTCTCAGAGGACGAAACGCGTCGGCTAAGAATAGTTTTTCCTCTTGTGTCTTTATATATATATATATATATATATATATATATATATATATATGAATTTACACATTTGTTTTTTTAATTCCCAGAATAATACTTGATAAGCTGGGACGAAACCGGTTGTTTTTACTTTTATTAAATTTACATCAATATGCCTTTGATTTAAATTTAAAAGATATTACACTTGTTCGCATTTATAATATATATATATATATATATATATATATATATATATATATATATATATATATATAAAAATTGGAGTTTTTAAAAATCCCATTTTATATAACGATTTGACAACTGGCAAATACCCAAAAGTACTAACAGGGATTAAGCACAGTACAAGTTTTCTTTTATTTATATCATGTCTCATTTTATATATTTAAATTATTTTAGCTTTTAATTCTTCAACTTAACGAGCAAGTTTGAAACTGAGTAGGCTACAAATTTCAAGACTGTCAGGCATCTTCGCGTGAAGTGGTGGTTAGTCTGATTGGCTATTATAAGTTACATAGTTAGAGTTTGATTTTCACTCGGTGCCCTATACAGAATTTACCATTAAATAATCCAATAAGTGTTGGCATGAAAAATCAGTGTATAAACCACATTTTGATAAAAGCTGTCATTTGCAAACTCTTTCTTAGCAGTGCAATAAAAAATAAGCTTGAGTTGAGAAATAAATCTGAGTTCAATTATCACAAAAGATGTTATAGTGACGCAGAGAATGATAACAGTTTGGGAAAAGTGATAACGAACAACATCACTTAATTATAGTGGATTTGATAGAGAGAAAAAAACAAAGCCATCATTATTCCTGATACTCTGATCCTGTCAGGGTTGAAGATTTGTGATTTATTTCATTACATTTTCTTTTATTTGCTTATTCGGTCGAAAATGTTTAATAAATTAGCTGAATATGCATCCCACGAACAGTGAAAAGTTAAGGGATCATATAAATTCTTTTTCCCTCTCTAAAATGTTTTATACAAACATTTTCTTAAGTTCTTTTTCTCGTGATATTAAGTTCTTTTGAATTTCCTACTCTGAACAAAGTTACATAGAGCTGACCATGAGAGAAACATTTGAATAATTTTCTAATGTTTATACTAATAATAATAACAATAATAATAATTCATCAAACTTACTATTTTTAGTTGTTTAAATAATTCGAAATAGTTATGAAGAAAAATAAATAAACAGTTTCGTTTGACTTAGTTAGATAACTCCATAAAACAAATTTGGCTCTATTCTACAAATGTGCAGTAATGCGAAATACAGACGACTACAGTGCTTATTATTACGAACGCTGTAGATTTTCTAACTTACGATTGAAATTTGACAAAGTCAGATAAAAATTCTTTCTATATAATCACAATGAATTTGAAAATAAAATTACTACCAAAAACATTTTTATTATATGGCATTTTTTAAAAAATTGAATTAAAAATAGATAACGCAAGAAAGATTTATTAAATTATGCTTTTAAGAAATGTTATGCAAATTAAATATTACCGCTAATGTTATAAAGGCCATTTGTTAATATATAGCTGGTAAGCATTCATTACGCGTCAACACGGGCAGGTAGATATTTATCCGCTTATTCTACTGATGTAAAGGGGTGAGGATCTTGCAGGAATTTATAAAAGAAAGCATCACAATTACTAATATTAAATTACTCTGAATTTCAGGCTTTTAATTAAATAAAGTTTTGGTGTATTTCTGCCTTTTTTATATGCCACGTTTCTTTTAGGGCGTAGTTTATAATAGATCTCCATAACTTCCTTTTTTTTTATTTCTCTACATAACTTTTGTCTCTTTATCTTTGTTCTGTCAACCAGCCATTCATTTAAACTCGTGAAATAGGTTACACACTGTTTATATTGCTTCTCTTGCCTTCAGTATGTTGTAGGAGTGATAAATTCTCGAAGACCTTTTTTATGTGTCGCAGAGATTTCAGCAATCTCTGTTGGTAATTATAAGTTTCCTTGTATTTCTTATTTCCATTAAATCTTTTTCCTGGGCCTATCGAGTGTGGGTATCGTAAATTTTACTAAGACAAAACCAATCCTCTCCAGAGTAGAAGTTTTAATTTCACAATCTACGGTTACGTAAATTGAAAGGAACAATGTATCTCTCAGGGTTACAATATTTTTTTATTCACCAGAATGGATAAACTACCGGTAATATATTTTATAGAATGTCACTAGATTCTATTTGATCTTTCTCAAAGGAAAAAAACCCTAAAAAAAAATCTTCTCGGACATTTTTCTTATTTTTATTTTTTTTTATTTTTTACGCATTACGCCCCGAGCAAGGCGTGAAGCCACTAGGATGCAGGGGGTTGCAGAAGATTTGGAGCAAGAGCAGATAGGAGTGATAGAAGAAAGGATGAAGAGAGGGATAGTGGGTAGATCAAGGTAACTGGAGGTGTCGATTGACATTACATTTGAATAGCTCTCAGGGAAACAGTAATTGGGAAGGGTGTTCCACAGACGAGAGGGGCGAGGTATGAAGCTATTGGCGTAGAAGAGACGGCTACATTTAAAAGTTTATACAGTGTAAGGGTGGGAGCGGGATGCCAGCCTCGTAGGGCGCTTGAATTCATGGAGTCTGGGAACCAGTGAAAGCAGCTCATCGGAGCAATTACCATGAAAGTATTTGTAGAAAAGACAGAGAGAGGCGACGGCGCGTCTGTGAGAGAGTGACTGTAGACGAGACGCCAGATCAGGGCCAATTATATTACGTATCCGTCTCTGGATCTTGTCAAGAACTCCGAGGTAAACAGAAGGTGCAATAATCCATATGGCAGCAATACTCCATGAATTCGTTGATTTGTATATTTGAAGTATCGATTCCGGGGAGAAAATTTCCTGGCGCGGCACAGAGATTCCAACTTTCCTCGCATTGGAAGAAGCAATTGACTCAATGTATTTTTTTCCATCTCAATCATCAATCAGTCAACGTGATTTTCATCCTTAGGACATTATGTAAAAAAAATTCCACCTAAATTACAATTTTCATTTTTTTATATGTCTATATGTTTACATTTAATATTGCAGTATTAATTTTTATAATTTCCTTATTTTAGTGGCATTGATATTTTGTTTTTGCTTGATAAATGTCTGATAAAGATTAAATCTTCCAGAAACATCAAGATTTAATTCACTTTTGAACATTTTTGAGTCATTTAGGAAGGAAGGTGTGAATTTTATATACTATCAAATTATTTCATTGACTTGAGGTTACAGTTTAAATATTTTATGAAATTTTAATATCAAATGTTCACGCAATGATTATAGATTAATTTCAATTCATATCAATCAAAAAACTTTTGCAAAAGTTATCTTTGATGTGAGTAAATATATACGCCCACGTTCATCAATAGATATGGAGTATCTGTGTAAAAAGACACTCCGATCGATCGGATGGATCTGAAAACAAAATTGAAAACTATGAAAATGAAAATTATCTTAATTATAAATTAACAAAGGAAATCAATTGACTTCGGTCATATATAAATTCTTAAATTTCGCTGTTATTCTACTGTTTCGAAAAGGTTCAAACAGAAATAAGAGTTTGAGCTTCCTTTAGACTTGAACTTGTAAAAATTTTTAAAGTGTTGGGTTTGACCTAAAAGAAAAAAGATCTTTTCAATTTCTGATTTTGGAACAATAACAGACCAAATTTTAATTTTCTTTTAAACATTTTGAATGTTTTGAACAAACACAATTATCTCTTCTCATATTTTAATCAAGCTATGTTCCTTCAGGACGTTTTTTATCATCATTTTTAACCCAATTCCTTTTTCCTTTGACAAAAATCTACTGATTCTGTTATTGTAAT